CAACACAAAAACAACCAGACGCACAAAACGACGCATCGCACGCGCGTCAAACGGCGCCAGCCTGCTCCACCACATCCTCCTCTGCACCTTCAGCCATACTTCGAGCGGACTCAGCCACTGTGCAATCCACCAGCACCTGCCATGACAAACAGCTTTACTCCTCTCGCATGACTCCACCACGTCGCTCCGACGGATTCAGTCACGCCTCAAAGGGCTCGTGACCAGTCTCCTCACGGTCAAGGCGCCGTACGTCGCGTGTCGATCTAGATACAACGGTACCAGCTGTCGCACAAGACGAAGTTCGGGATCAAGTCCTGTGACGAGTGTTCTGTCCGCTATTGCAATAGGTGTAGCTCGCGCGCCTGCCGTGCGTTGCCTAAAGGAGGCGAAACGTGTGTGGAAGACTGCCGTTGGGCGCAACACGACAAAACAAGGTGGCAGTATGGGCGCAGCAGAGCAAAAGAAGCTTCCTGTCCGGGAATTGACCCCGGGTCACCCGCGTGACAGGCGGGTATACTAACCACTATACTAACGAGAATTCGTACAACCACAACTCGCCATACAAATTTCAACACAAAACAACCAGACGCACAAAACGACGCATCGCACGCGCGTCAAACGGCGCCAGCCTGCTCCACCACATCCTCCTCTGCACCTTCAGCCATACTTCGAGCGGACTCAGCCACTGTGCAATCCACCAGCACCTGCCATGACAAACAGCTTTACTCCTCTCGCATGACTCCACCACGTCGCTCCGACGGATTCAGTCACGCCTCAAAGGGCTCGTGACCAGTCTCCTCACGGTCAAGACGCCGTACGTCGCGTGTCGATCTAGATACAACGGTAGCAGTTGTCGCACAAGACGAAGTTCAAGATCAAATCCTGTGACGAGTGTTCTGTCCGCTAATGCAATAGGTGTAGCTCGCGCGCCAGCCGTGCGTTGCCTAAAGGAGGCGAAACGTGTGTGGAAGACTGCCGCTGGGCGCAATACGACAAACAAGGTGGCAGTATGGGCGCAGCAGAGCAAAAGAAGCTTCCCGTCCGGGAATTGAACCCGGGTCACCCGCGTGACAGGCGGGTATACTAACCCCTATACTAACGAGAATTCGTACAACCACAACTCGCCATACAAATTTCAAAACAAAAACAACCAGACGCACAAAACGACGCATCGCACGCGCGTCAAACGGCGCCAGCCTGCTCTACCACATCCGCCTCTGCACCTTCAGGCCTATTTTGAGCGGACTCAGCCACTGTGCAATCCACGAGCACCTGCCATGACAAACAGCTTTATCCTCTCGCATGACTCCACCACGTCGCTCCGACGGATTCAGTCACGCCTCAAAGGGCTCGTGACCAGTCTCCTCACGGTCAAGACGCCGTACGTCGCGTGTCGATCTAGATACAACGGTACCAGTTGTCGCACAAGACGAAGTTCGGGATCAAGTCCTGTGACGAGTGTTCTGTCCGCTATTGCAATAGGTGTAGCTCGCGCGCCAGCCGTGTGTTGCCGAAACGTGTGGGGAAGACTGCCGTTGGGCGCAACACGGCAAAACAAGGTGGCAGTATGGGCGCAGCAGAGCAAAAGAAGCTTCCCGTCCGGGAATTGGACCCGGGTCACCCGCGTGACAGGTGGGTATACTAACCACTATACTAACGAGAATTCGTACAGCCACAACTCGCCATACAAATTTCAACACAAAAACAACCAGACGCACAAAACGACGCATCGCACGCGCGTCAAACGGCGCCAGCCTGCTCCACCACATCCGCCTCTGCACCTTCAGCCATATTTCGAGCGGACTCAGCCACTGTGGAATCCACGAGCACCTGCCATGACAAACAGCTTTACTCCTCTCGCATGACTCCACCACGTCGCTCCGACGGATTCAGTCACGCCTCAAAGGGCTCGTGACCAGTCTCCTCACGGTCAAGACGCCGTACGTCGCGTGTCGATCTAGATACAACGGTACCAGTTGTCGCACAAGACGAAGTTCGGGATCAAGTCCTGTGACGAGTGTCCTGTCCGCTATTGCAATAGGTGTAGCTCGCGCGCCAGCCGTGCGTTGCCTAAAGGAGGCGAAACGTGTGTGGAAGACTGCCGTTGGGCGCAATACGACAAACAAGGTGGCAGTATGGGCGCAGCAGAGCAAAAGAAGCTTCCCGTCCGGGAATTGAACCCGGGTCACCCGCGTGACAGGCGGGTATACTAACCACTTTACTAACGAGAATTCATACAACCACAACTCGCCATACAAATTTCAACACAAAACAACCAGACGCACAAAACGACGCATCGCACGCGCGTCAAACGGCGCCAGCCTGCTCCACCACATCCTCCTCTGCACCTTCAGCCATACTTCGAGCGGACTCAGCCACTGTGCAATCCACCAGCACCGGCCATGACAAACAGCTTTACTCCTCTCGCATGACTCCACCACGTTCCCTCTCCAAAGAGATATTATTCACGCCTCAAAGGCTCGTGAACCGTCTCCTCCACGTCCAGAAGCCCTAAGTCCCGTGTCCATCCAGATACACAGCTACCCGTTGTCCCACAAAAGCAATTCGGATCTCAGTCCTGTGACGCAGTGTTATGTCCGCTCATGCCATAAAGTGTAGACTGCGCGCCCGACCGCTGTGCTTGTCTCAAAGGAGCAAACGTGTGTGGAAGACTGCCGTGGGCGCATACCACAACAGTGGCAGTATGGGCGCAGCAGAGCAAAGAAGCTCCTGTCCGGGATTGACCCCGGGTCACTCGCGTGACAGGCGGGTATACTAACCACTATACTAACGAGAATTCGTACAACACAACTCGCCATACAAATTTCAACACAAAACAACCAGACGCACAAAACGACGCATCGCACGCGCGTCAAACGGCGCCAGCCTGCTCCACCACATCCGCCTCTGCACCTTCAGCCTTACTTCGAGCGGACTCAGCCACTGTGCAATCCACGAGCACCTGCCATGACAAACAGCTTTACTCCTCTCGCATGACTCCACCACGTCGCTCCGACGGATTCAGTCACGCCTCAAAGGGCTCGTGACCAGTCTCCTCACGGTCAAGACGCCGTACGTCGCGTGTCGATCTAGATACAACGGTACCAGTTGTCGCACAAGACGAAGTTCGGGATCAAGTCCTGTGACGAGTGTTCTGTCCGCTATTGCAATAGGTGTAGCTCGCGCGCCAGCCGTGCGTTGCCTAAAGGAGGCGAAACGTGTGTGGAAGACTGCCGTTGGGCGCAATACGACAAAACAAGGTGGCAGTATGGGCGCAGCAGAGCAAAAGAAGCTTCCCGTCCGGGAATTGAACCCGGGTCACCCGCGTGACAGGCGGGTATACTAACCACTATACTAACGAGAATTCGTACAACCACAACTCGCCATACAAATTTCAGCACAAAAACAACCAGACGCACAAAACGACGCATCGCACGCGCGTCAAACGGCGCCAGCCTGCTCCACCACATCCGCCTCTGCACCTTCAGCCTTACTTCGAGCGGACTCAGCCACTGTGCAATCCACGAGCACCTGCCATGACAAACAGCTTTACTCCTCTCGCATGATTCCACCACGTCACTCCGACGGATTCAGTCACGCCTCAAAGGGCTCGTGACCAGTCTCCTCACGGTCAAGACGCCGTACGTCGCGTGTCGATCTAGATACAACGGTACCAGTTGTCGCACAAGACGAAGTTCGGGATCAAGTCCTGTGACGAGTGTTCTGTCCGCTATTGCAATAGGTGTAGCTCGCGCGCCAGCCGTGCGTTGCCTAAAGGAGGCGAAACGTGTGTGGAAGACTGTCGTTGGGCGCAATACGACAAAACAAGGTGGCAGTATGGGCGCAGCAGATCAAAAGAAGCTTCCCGTCCGGGAAATTGAACCCGGGTCACCCGCGTGACAGGCGGGTATACTAACCACTATACTAACGAGAATTCGTACAACCACAACTCGCCATACAAATTTCAGCACAAAAACAACCAGACGCACAAAACGACGCATCGCACGCGCGTCAAACGGCGCCAGCCTGCTCCATCACATCCGCCTCTGCACCTTCAGCCTTACTTCGAGCGGACTCAGCCACTGTGCAATCCTCGAGCACCTGCCATGACAAACAGCTTTACTCCTCTCGCATGACTCCACCACGTCGCTCCGACGGATTCAGTCACGCCTCAAAGGGCTCGTGACCAGTCTCCTCACGGTCAAGACGCCGTACGTCGCGTGTCGATCTAGATACAACGGTACCAGTTGTCGCACAAGACGAAGTTCGGGATCAAGTCCTGTGACGAGTGTTCTGTCCGCTATTGCAATAGGTGTAGCTCGCGCGCCAGCCGTGCGTTGCCTAAAGGAGGCGAAACGTGTGTGGAAGACTGCCGTTGGGCGCAACACGACAAAACAAGGTGGCAGTATGGGCGCAGCAGATCAAAAGAAGCTTCCCGTCCGGGAATTGAACCCGGGTCACCCGCGTGACAGGCGGGTATACTAACCACTATACTAACGAGAATTCGTACAACCACAACTCGCCATACAAATTTCAACACAAAAACAACCAGACGCACAAAACGACGCATCGCACGCGCGTCAAACGGCGCCAGCCTGCTCCATCACATCCGCCTCTGCACCTTCAGCCTTACTTCGAGCGGACTCAGCCACTGTGCAATCCACGAGCACCTGCCATGACAAACAGCTTTACTCCTCTCGCATGATTCCACCACGTCGCTCCGACGGATTCAGTCACGCCTCAAAGGGCTCGTGACCAGTCTCCTCACGGTCAAGACGCCGTACGTCGCGTGTCGATCTAGATACAACGGTACCAGTTGTCGCACAAGACGAAGTTCGGGATCAAGTCCTGTGACGAGTGTCCTGTCCGCTATTGCAATAGGTGTAGCTCGCGCGCCAGCCGTGCGTTGCCTAAAGGAGGCGAAACGTGTGTGGAAGACTGCCGTTGGGCGCAATACGACAAACAAGGTGGCAGTATGAGCGCAGCAGAGCAAAAGAAGCTTCCGCGTCCGGGAATTGAACCCGGGTCACCCGCGTGACAGGCGGGTATCCCTAACCCACTATTCCTAACGAGAATTTCGTACAATCCACCAGCTCGCCATACAAATGTCAACACAAAAAACAACCCAGGCCGCACAAAAGAGGCATTGGCACGGGGGTCAAACGGCCGCCAGCCTGCTCCACCACATCCGGCTTCTGCACCTTCGGCCTTATTTGGAGCGGATTCAGCCCACTGTGCAATCCACGAGCACCGGCCAGAACAAACAGCTTTACTCCTCTCGCATGATTCCACCACGTCGCTCCGACGGATTAAGTCACGCCTCAAAGGGCTCGTGACCAGTCTCCTCACGGTCAAGACGCCGTACGTCGCGTGTCGATCTAGATACAACGGTACCAGTTGTCGCACAAGACGAAGTTCGGGATCAAGTCCTGTGACGAGTGTCCTGTCCGCTATTGCAATAGGTGTAGCTCGCGCGCCAGCCGTGCGTTGCCTAAAGGAGGCGAAACGTGTGTGGAAGACTGCCGTTGGGCGCAATACGACAAACAAGGTGGCAGTATGAGCGCAGCAGAGCAAAAGAAGCTTCCCGTCCGGGAATTGAACCCGGGTCACCCGCGTGACAGGCGGGTATACTAACCACTATACTAACGAGAATTCGTACAACCACAACTCGCCATACAAATTTCAACACAAAAACAACCAGACGCACAAAACGACGCATCGCACGCGCGTCAAACGGCGCCAGCCTGCTCCACCACATCCGCCTCTGCACCTTCAGCCTTACTTCGAGCGGACTCAGCCACTGTGCAATCCACGAGCACCGGCCATGACAAGCAGCTTTACTCCTCTCGCATGATTCCACCACGTCGCTCCGACGGATTCAGTCACGCCTCAAAGGGCTCGTGACCAGTCTCCTCACGGTCAAGACGCCGTACGTCGCGTGTCGATCTAGATACAACGGTACCAGTTGTCGCACAAGACGAAGTTCGGGATCAAGTCCTGTGACGAGTGTTCTGTCCGCTATTGCAATAGGTGTAGCTCGCGCGCCAGCCGTGCGTTGGCTAAAGGAGGCGAAACGTGTGTGGAAGACTGTCGTTGGGCGCAATACGACAAAACAAGGTGGCAGTATGGGCGCAGCAGAGCAAAAGAAGCTTCCCGTCCGGGAATTGAACCCGGGTCACCCGCGTGACAGGCGGGTATACTAACCACTATACTAACGAGAATTCGTACAACCACAACTCGCCATACAAATTTCAACACAAAAACAACCAGACGCACATAACGACGCATCGCACGCGCTCCACCACATCCGCCTCTGCACCTTCAGCCTTACTTCGAGCGGACTCAGCCACTGTGCAATCCACGAGCACCGGCCATGACAAGCAGCTTTACTCCTCTCGCATGATTCCACCACGTCGCTCCGACGAATTCAGTCACGCCTCAAAGAGCTCGTGATCAGTCTCCTCACGGTCAAGACGCCGTACGTCGCGTGTCGATCTAGATACTACGGTACCAGTTGTCGCACAAGACGAAGTTCGGGATCAAGTCCTGTGACGAGTGTTCTGTCCGCTATTGCAATAGGTGTAGCTCGTGCGCCAGCCGTGCGTTGCCTAAAGGAGGCGAAACGTGTGTGGAAGACTGCCGTTGGGCGCAACACGACAAAACAAGGTGGCAGTATGGGCGCAGCAGAGCAAAAGAAGCTTCCCGTCCGGGAATTGAACCCGGGTCACCCGCGTGACAGGCGGGTATACTAACCACTATACTAACGAGAATTCGTACAACCACAACTCGCCATACAAATTTCAACAAAAAAACAACCAGACGCACAAAACGACGCATCGCACGCGCGTCAAACGGCGCCAGCCTGCTCCACCACATCCGCCTCTGCACCTTCAGCCTTACTTCGAGCGGACTCAGCCACTGTGCAATCCACGAGCACCGGCCATGACAAGCAGCTTTACTCCTCTCGCATGATTCCACCACGTCGCTCCGACGGATTCAGTCACGCCTCAAAGGGCTCGTGACCAGTCTCCTCACGGTCAAGACGCCGTACGTCGCGTGTCGATCTAGATACAACGGTACCAGCTGTCGCACAAGACGAAGTTCGGGATCAAGTCCTGTGACGAGTGTTCTGTCCGCTATTGCAATAGGTGTAGCTCGCGCGCCAGCCGTGCGTTGCCTAAAGGAGGCGAAACGTGTGTGGAAGACTGTCGTTGGGCGCAATACGACAAAACAAGGTGGCAGTATGGGCGCAGCAGAGCAAAAGAAGCTTCCCGTCCGGGAATTGAACCCGGGTCACCCGCGTGACAGGCGGGTGTACTAACCACTATACTAACGAGAATTCGTACAACCACAACTCGCCATACAAATGTCAACACAAAAACAACCAGACGCACAAAACGACGCATCGCACGCGCGTCAAACGGCGCCAGCCTGCTCCACCACATCCGCCTCTGCACCTTCAGCCTTACTTCGAGCGGACTCAGCCACTGTGCAATCCACGAGCACCGGCCATGACAAGCAGCTTTACTCCTCTCGCATGATTCCACCACGTCGCTCCGACGGATTCAGTCACGCCTCAAAGGGCTCGTGACCAGTCTCCTCACGGTCAAGACGCCGTACGTCGCGTGTCGATCTAGATACAACGGTACCAGTTGTCGCACAAGACGAAGTTCGGGATCAAGTCCTGTGACGAGTGTTCTGTCCGCTATTGCAATAGGTGTAGCTCGCGCGCCAGCCGTGCGTTGCCTAAAGGAGGCGAAACGTGTGTGGAAGACTGTCGTTGGGCGCAATACGACAAAACAAGGTGGCAGTATGGGCGCAGCAGAGCAAAAGAAGCTTCCCGTCCGGGAATTGAACCCGGGTCACCCGCGTGACAGGCGGGTATACTAACCACTATACTAACGAGAATTCGTACAACCACAACTCGCCATACAAATGTCAGCACAAAAACAACCAGACGCACAAAACGACGCATCGCACGCGCGTCAAACGGCGCCAGCCTGCTCCACCACATCCGCCTCTGCACCTTCAGCCTTACTTCGAGCGGACTCAGCCACTGTGCAATCCACGAGCACCGGCCATGACAAGCAGCTTTACTCCTCTCGCATGATTCCACCACGTCGCTCCGACGGATTCAGTCACGCCTCAAAGGGCTCGTGACCAGTCTCCTCACGGTCAAGACGCCGTACGTCGCGTGTCGATCTAGATACAACGGTACCAGTTGTCGCACAAGACGAAGTTCGGGATCAAGTCCTGTGACGAGTGTTCTGTCCGCTATTGCAATAGGTGTAGCTCGCGCGCCAGCCGTGCGTTGCCTAAAGGAGGCGAAACGTGTGTGGAAGACTGCCGTTGGGCGCAATACGACAAAACAAGGTGGCAGTATGGGCGCAGCAGAGCAAAAGAAGCTTCCCGTCCGGGAATTGAACCCGGGTCACCCGCGTGACAGGCGGGTATACTAACCACTATACTAACGAGAATTCGTACAACCACAACTCGCCATACAAATTTCAACACAAAAACAACCAGACGCACAAAACGACGCATCGCACGCGCGTCAAACGGCGCCAGCCTGCTTTATCACATCCGCATCTGCACCTTCAGCCATATTTCGAGCGGACTCAGCCACTGTGCAATCCACGAGCACCTGCCATGACAAACAGCTTTACTCCTCTCGCATGACTCCACCACGTCGCTCCGACGGATTCAGTCACGCCTCAAAGGGCTCGTGACCAGTCTCCTCACGGTCAAGACGCCGTACGTCGCGTGTCGATCTAGATACAACGGTACCAGTTGTCGCACAAGACGAAGTTCGGGATCAAGTCCTGTGACGAGTGTTCTGTCCGCTATTGCAATAGGTGTAGCTCGCGCGCCAGCCGTGCGTTGCCTAAAGGAGGCGAAACGTGTGTGGAAGACTGCCGTTGGGCGCAATACGACAAAACAAGGTGGCAGTATGGGCGCAGCAGAGCAAAAGAAGCTTCCCGTCCGGGAATTGAACCCGGGTCACCCGCGTGACAGGCGGGTATACTAACCACTATACTAACGAGAATTCGTACAACCACAACTCGCCATACAAATTTCAACACAAAAACAACTAGACGCACAAAACGACGCATCGCACGCGCGTCAAACGGCGCCAGCCTGCTCTACCACATCCGCCTCTGCACCTTCAGCCATACTTCGAGCGGACTCAGCCACTGTGCAATCCACGAGCACCTGCCATGACAAACAGCTTTACTCCCTCTCGCATGACTCCCACCACGTCGCTCCGACGGATTCAGTCACGCCTCAAAGGGCTCGTGACCAGTCTCCTCACGGTCAAGACGCCGTACGTCGCGTGTCGATCTAGATACAACGGTACCAGTTGTCGCACAAGACGAAGTTCGGGATCAAGTCCTGTGACGAGTGTTCTGTCCGCTATTGCAATAGGTGTAGCTCGCGCGCCAGCCGTGCGTTGCCTAAAGGAGGCGAAACGTGTGTGGAAGACTGTCGTTGGGCGCAATACGACAAAACAAGGTGGCAGTATGGGCGCAGCAGAGCAAAAGAAGCTTCCCGTCCGGATATTGAACCCGGGTCACCCGCGTGACAGGCGGGTATACTAACCACTACACTAACGAGAATTCGTACAACCACAACTCGCCATACAAATTTCAGCACAAAAACAACCAGACGCACAAAACGACGCATCGCACGCGCGTCAAACGGCGCCAGCCTGCTCCATCACATCCGCCTCTGCACCTTCAGCCTTACTTCGAGCGGATTCAGCCACTATGCAATCCACGAGCACCGGCCATGACAAACAGCTTTACTCCTCTCGCATGACTCCAACAGGTCGCTCCGACGGATTCAGTCACGCCTCAAAGGGCTCGTGACCAGTCTCCTCACGGTCAAGACGGCCGTACGGTCGCGGTGTCGATCTAGATACCAACGGGTACCCAGTTGTCGCACAAGACGAAGGTTCGGGGATCAAAGTCCTGTGACGAGTTGTTCTGTCCCGCTATTGCAATAGGTGTAGCTCGCGCGCCAGCCGTGCGTTGCCTAAAGGAGGCCGAAACGTGTGTGGAAGACTGTCGTTGGG